CCGCAGGTTAGCAAAGATTGATCTAGCTCTAATTACGCGTTGTGAGATCTCTTTATTCACTCCTCCGTCAGTCGTTATGTAACTCCCGAGGTAGACAGCTTTTGACTACTTCCGGAGTGTGGTTCGTCAACGAAAGTGCAGGAACGAGTTCCTGAAAACCTTGCAATAATACCTTGCACTTTGAAGGTGTAAATGACATACCATAACGAGTAACCTGAATTTCCAAGCGTTTCAGCGAGTCTTGAATCATCGGTGCGTTGTCACCGAGTAAGGCAATATCATCGGCATACTCGAAGTTCACGAATCCGTCTCCAGGAAGAAGCTGATCCCCAGCGTTCGTTACGTTCAGTAACGCTTTTTGTGCAAAATCATTTATGGCAAAGTCGAGGAGAAACGGAGAAACAGGGCCACCCTGTCGTACTCCACTTGTGACAAGAAACTAGGGTAAAAGTTCACCATAGGCCCTAAATTGTTGCGAGGTCTGGTGGCGGATTGATTTTAGAAGCAGGACATACTCCTGGTACTTCGTATCTCCGCAAACAGTTCCATAGTACGATGCGATCGTTGGGGACAAAAACCGCTCTAATTTCCAAACCGACGGCAATGGTTTGTCGTCCATATATGTGTCAGTGTCCTAGTAGCTGATTAAGGGTGAAGAGTTCAACTATGCTACCACGACGTGCTAGAACCCCGTTCCGCTCTTCACGGAATCGGTTTAGTCTGCGTAATGAAGCGGACGCTAACAGCTTCGGCGCAATTGAAATCAGACTTATGCTCTTGTGGTTGGAACAGGCGTCGCGACAGCCCTTCGTGTAGATGGGTGTAACAATCGATTTTTCCCATCTGTGGGGTACACTTTCAGTTTCCCAGATCTTCGAGAACAGTCTGACAAGTTCTATCGCTAGAGCTTCTACATCATCTGCCTCTTAGAACCCATAGCTCGGGTGAGTTGGGGTAGTTGTCGGGTGTTTCCAGATAAAGCTGCTCCTTAAATCTCCTTCGCAAATAACGCCCACCAGACCTCTCAGTCGTCTCTCAAGCTCTTTGTGGGTTCATGCTTCAGAGAGGCACTGTTCATTGTACTCGCTGACTGCCGGGATCGCCCAAAGAGAGTCCAGAAGTCTGAGAGAGTTGGAGAAAACCCGGTGTTTTACAACTCATCGGATCAGGCAGAAACTGTAAACTAGCTGAGTGCATTCGTCAAGTCAAGTCAAAGAAATCTTTATGCACCCAAAAATGAATTTCCAGCGATAACATTTTGAATAGTTATCCAGTGTTCATCTACATTTCCTGGTGGGGTAGTGGTTGACCTTGCGGCCAACTCGTTCGGGTATTCGGCTAGCACGGCTACGTCAAGCTGTTTGCAGCTACTCTTTCTGAGGCCACGAAATCGCATAGATTACCTGGCATCAATCAAGTAAACCAATACGAAAGGCAGTCCTTCACACCCTCTCGATCTATAGCTAATCGCTTATGATCAATCTGAGTTCATTCCTGTGCCGAAGAGTAGGTGTCGCCAAGTGACGCTTTGGGTGTCTGCAGTTCATGCTAACGAGCAACAGACTGTGTTCTGAGCATATGCCAAGAAGTCTATCTCCGTTATCTAAACGATGACTGTCAAGGTCATGATGACCACTAGGATGCATCACATGGAGCGACAAACGGCCAACGTGTGCGTTTAGCTTTCCGACAAGGATCACGATATCCGTCTTAGGTGCCTAGAGAAGAAGCTCATGTAGGTTATGTTAGAAGGTATCTTTGACTGTATATGGGCTATAGTCTGTGACGGAGTATATAGAAAGCGCGAATGAGCACTGTTCGTCTGGTTTCTGCTTTTTGACTTCACTTGAGCCGCACTGTACATAATTATCTACTGGGACCCAGTCTAATAGAGTTGCCTTGACCATGGACGCTCGTAAAACCGTTAGTACCGATGCCAAATGTAGCACATCGCTCAGGAGTGGTTTTAAGCTAAATGCATAGAGATAGAAAAGGTTGCTGCTTTTAACAACTGGCGATCTTTTCTGTTTACTCAGGAAAGCGTCCAAAGCAATTGGTGAAGTGATCAACGAGTCCACCTTCAGCAATGCCGT